TCACAAATAATTATCGCAGATAATGAGATCTGTCAAGAGGAGATCTCTTAGATAATGAGATCTGTCAAGAGATGATCACTGTCTAGCAGCTACTATTGATGTTAGTACATAAGAAGTGCTGGAGCTAATGAGTGGGGGATTTTATCGATGACGGAATTGCTCTTGTAGGATGAAAGGGGTGTATTTATTATGATATGAAGTGGAGCTATACAACCGTAGAGTCACACCTGACATACTAATCCTTAGAGTTGAGAGGGGGGTCAATCTGCCCTGGCTTATGTCAGTAGGGCTCATAATCACCAGCTCCCGTCGGCCTGGCCAACTGTTGAACTTGATCTGAGTCGAAACCTCATCTGCCCCTCCATATTATCCTGTTTATGTTAGTCTTCATCCCATATTTCAAGTTTTGTTTCTGGAATTTCTGCAGTCTGGTTTCAAATATTCTGAGGATTTGAATGAAGGGTGCTCGCCAAGGAATGGGCTTGGTAGCAAAAGGGGCAAAGGGTATGAAAACAGTCGTAAGCGAACATTAAATTTCACTCAGCTATACAAGACAGGAACAGAAAAAGGGTGCGCGACCGTTACGACAGTGTCGAATGGTGTGTGATAGTTCAATAGCCCTTCTGTTTTCACAAGATGTGTCTCATAAGAAAGTTTAATGGCCACCGTGTCTTATTGCTATATCATGAACTTTGATCGCAAGCTCTTAGATCACATTCTGTATCTTTAGGACAGGTGGAACACTGCGGGTCATAGGTTTCGGTAAGGTACACGAACCAATATCTGGTATTTTTGGACATCCTTTAGAGTCATTACCAACATTTCTTCCCCCAGGAATACAGCATGGCTTAAATAACCTCAAGGCCTTTTGAATTTTGACATGGGATACCTCCCGTGGACAAACATTGGAGGAATTGCAACTTCAAAGAAATCAGTGAATCCAAACTCCCCTATCCTCCTCCCTTCGGCCCAAGGCGATGGTCAGTTCTTCCAATCCTTACAAGAAGAGAGAAGAAAGTGATTTCGATTCATCAGCAGTGAATAAATCTTAAGCTGACCAGAAGGGGAAGGAAAGGAAGAAGAAGGATTTACACTAATATCATGATGTTTCAAGACCACATTATCTCCAAAAGAGGATCAAGAATCGTATGATTTATCCTGTCTTCCTGTCATTTTTTTTTTTAAAAAAAAAGAGGAGAATGTCTTTTGAATGGCATAGACGAGAGAACGAGTTGAAAGTGTATGATAGGAGTTCAAGAACACTGGGAGAAGCTCTGAGAAATATTCAAACTGAATTTGAACATCTTTTGAAGATAAGATGAGAATGTTGTGTTAATTAGAAGAGTTGATTCCGATGAAGACAATTTGAAAGAGGGAGGAAGAGGGAGGCGCTTTATAAGTATGGTAGATATATAGTGAGATTTCTAGAACAGAGATTAGAGGTTGATTCAACAATCCACCTACATTGTTGACGCGACCAAGCATTCGCATCAACTGCCTAGATCTTACATCTTCTGCGTCTGATCCAGATTTTAGACTTGATTATAACTTAAAGAACCCGTTGCCAAGATGCCTTTACACCAGCCACTGCCGAACGACAATAACGGCTTTTTAGCTGTGTGCTAAATCTAGCGTCGTGTGACGTGAACTAGAGGTACACTCAAGCCAGATTCAGCGCCTTTTTCAATTACGATGACCAAGACGCCGATGTCGGAGCATTAGAGCTCCTACTAAATTGGAACTATCGGTGCAGATCTAAGATCTGTTAGATCACGGTCAAGAGTTACGAGAGAAAAGCAAGACTGTTCGTCGTAGTACCGTGCAAGGCACGAAAGGATAGCGTGGTCATGGCGTGCATTACTGTTGAACTCATTATTGCCCATGTCAACATGATGAAATGGATTGAAATTTGGGCATATGGTAAGCATTATCAAATTGGTATTATTTGAGTTGAGCCAAGACACAACTAGGGAATCTGGTGCCATGGATAGTCGCGAAGAGTCTAAATTACTTGAACATAATCAACGTCATACTAACCCAAACGAGTAAAAAATCTGAAACGAAATGCGTCCAAGATTGAAATAAACATTTACTCGCCTAGAAAAGAGCAAAGTCAATATATCACCTAATCACTATTCGGCCGTGACTCCTGAAAATCTGTAGCGAACATGTCAAAGTGCTATTAACCCTACAATGGTCTGGAATCCTTGGCATTGCGATGGTCAGGGAGGTGATTGAATGGGGAGTAAAGTATCAACAAACCCTAAAGACGGTAGAAAAAGTAGACGAAAACTACCTGCTTTTGTCTTAGATTAGACAACACGCAATGACTCCAGTAGTTGATAGGTAGATTGCGCTTGTGACAAGACATGCTGACACAACGTACTGATACAAAAGACCTGGAAAACGAGATTTGAGAATATTTTGATGTTCTCTGGCCCCCTAGAATAGAAGTATTGCGGGGATAATTATCTAGTCGCTTAATTTATTGGCATCTTATCTAGTGCAGACTATGAACTCCATGCTGATGGTAGATCTTGGTTCATATGAACCAAATTCCAACAATACTAGATGTAGAGTCAAGTATAGAACAAGCTCATGCGCCTTGAAGGGCTCCCTCGTCAAACTGTCTCAGATTCGCAGCAATGATGCCTGACGCTGGTTGGAACCAAGAGCTATTCTCATCCCACCAACATGTTTTCTCCGGAACATCTCATTTGCTAATTATGAATAGATCAAACATTATGAGAAAGTTTTATTGCATATTTCGCAATAAGATCTAAATATAATCAACCACACACAACCGAGAGGAACCCTTCCCTGCGGCACAGCACTGACTGCAGCTGTCATCGCAACTGAAATGTTGTCTTTGTCTTGGGATCAAAATTTATGTCATCTGAATCATGCGAATCTTAATCATATGAACTGTGAATACATAGATGCTGTTTGTATGTATTTTTAAATTGATCAATCTTGGAGAGACTTTCCTCCTACAGGTGCCGTGCCATTTAGGCCGTGGATCTAATTATCTTTTATTGTGCCAGTATATCTGGTGGAGTCTAATACCCGCCCGGGGATCGAGCAAAGCCCCTCCCCCAGAAAGCAATGATTGTGGGTACAGGTACCAATCTACAAGACGCAGATACGAAAAAGGCAATTCACTTGATTCAATACAAATCGACATGGATTCCACACTTATGGCCACAGACTTCGAGAAATTGAGGATGATATATTGAGTCGTCTATAGATGGAAAGCACACAAAAGCATGTTTCTTTTAGCGCCTTCGCTTTGCGGCCTGGAGGTCTTCAAAGCGGTCGATATGTTCCCACGATTGATAAAGGGCCCAGAAAGGACCACTTCTTTATTCCGTGCGGGTACGTGCTGAGAATAGTACACTGTACAGATCTGGGGATGACGTGCATTTAGCAGTTCATGGGAATTATTAAAGGTTTGCACTCAAACGTCACACATGGCGGTTATGATACATTTTGGGTGGTTGGCGTTGAATTGTAGTGGGAGCGGGGGTCCAAACACGTGCATATCTCGTAACGCTTAGGAGTGATGCCGGCGTTTCTGATAATAGACAAATGTTGATGAGAGATGTGCAATGATTTGTTAGTTGCTTGTTAATTATTGACCTTGCTTGATTAAACATATTAAAATTTGCTCAATACAGAAGGTTGGCTTGTCCTTGAGAATGTAGCGACATTAAGCTAAAATGGGAATTTCGACCATGGATAAGTAGTAGTAACCAATAGAGGATGATGGGATTTGATTCCTCCACAATCCAACGGTCACACCGACCAGAAAGTTTGGATCGGTATTCCCGAATTAACGTACATGACTCAATGTCCTCTAATTGTGATTTATCTCATCTCTGGTATGGATGGTAAGAGGTATCAGTAGAGATAAATAATGAGCTCACTAGGCTTGAATTGTGTCACGGAAATGGTACACCATTAAATGAATATCATTCGATCGGTTACATCCGGCTGCTTCTTCAACGTCAACCATTCTGTTATCGTCTTGTAGAGTCGTAGGTTTGTCATATCTCAACTTTGGTGGACCCGAGTGTCTAAGTTTGACGGGAAGGAATGAGGCTGGGATGCGGGACTCCGGTTGGTGTCTTCGTACATCGTCATTATTTGAATCTGCCAGGAAGAGAAGGAATAGCAGGACTACACAGCCGGTCCTGTGAGAGACGGGGTAGACAGGAATGTCAGGACAGGACTTTCAATAGCTGAGATAGCTGAGGATGGAGACCCAGATCAACAATGCTGTACATCTCATGATCATGACAATCGCATCCATTTGAACATCGCTTTCATTCCTGCAACCTAAGACGATGGCGAATTATCTCCGCTTTGTACTCTATAGTCAGGGTACAGTATCAGGGTAACCTCGAGAATTGAAGAAAGCTGCAGTAAGACGGCGAATTCTACCTACGCCTTACACACCATTTTCTTCTTCCACTCAGATACTTTTATTTCCTCCACATCTGACCACCATCTGACGTGCGTCTTCCTTTCATTCTCACCTCTTGCGAATCGGCTATATGGTCGGCGTGCATTCACTGGATGGTTGGTGATGGCTGCTTAGATGGGGCGGGGGGGAGGGTTATGTATTGTAACCATACCTACAAAGGTGTGAGAGAGATTGCCTGTTTTCCTGCCTTGTCATCCATTTCCGTTACGTGGAGCCGGGATTAAAAAGACCTTAAGGTTGTACAGCGTTTCCTGTGGGGGTATGGGTTATTGAAGGGATTCAGATGGTGGTCAGAGTGCTATTACGGATACACAACGGCTTGCGACCAAAGACCACAGACCACATATTATTGTATGGAGTAATGAATGCTCAATCTATTGAATTTTACCTAGTATGTTAAGCACATCAGATCCTAATCCTTCCTGCCTGAAATTAGCAGTTCGGGCGCTGGTGTAAATCAGGTAATATTACTTGTTGACAATATGAGATGATGGTTTCTTACATCAAACTAATAATGAAGGAGATTTTGGTTTCGAGACAAGTTCACTCATTTATTTGCTGCGTTCGGGAGTTCCAAAGTTCGGAGTGGACATTGGCACTGGGTAGCGGTGAGTTTCAGGGGTTGACAAAGGTTAAACGGTGCCCAGCTAGTCGTTTGCCAGGACCATCTGTTCGACATTGCAAGGAGATGGCTAATTGGTAATTATCACTATCACTAGGTATAACCTTCAATTTTGTTTTCTCGGGCGAATAATGGCGGTGTTGGCGGTAAGAGAGAAGTGGTTTTGAAGAGGCAGCTGTAGCCTATGTAATCTTGTGCAATCATAATAGGAGGGCTTGATTATATGGGTTTGATTGGAAGTGATTGTGTGTAGCATTTGTAGCGACTGTCAGTCTAGGTACAACCTGCCATATGAAGGATGTCGGGTCCTGTACGAAAGCTGAGTGAGTGACTAGCGCAACCATTGGCTGAGATGGAGTCTCGGGGCGTTTGACTAAGGCGGATTTTCATCGGAAAGGCTTAATATGTACGAAGTAGCGATGATTTCAACTTTCGATGAGTCTGTAGACAACCTTCATTGGTAGGCTATGATATCCATGCTCTGACTAGGTAATCCGGACATGTCCAGCCTCTATTTTGGCATCTCGCCCTCCTTCGCCCAGTCACTACTGCCGGCTTTATCCATTCTTGTGCATAATTGAAGCATTCCATAAGTGAGCAAGATGTGCAGCTTGTGCAAAGAGGCTGTGGGGAAAAATATGAGTCTGCCACCAAAATCGATGCCAGTTAGATGAACCAATGAATTTGTGTGGACGAGATTCTGCCAACAAATGTGTATTATTGTGGACCATTTGTCAAGTCATTGATGAGTAGGCTCGTAGGCCTGTCTATCGAGCATTAAGGTCAATTCACGATTTAAGGTATCAAATTTGGGGTCAATTCACTGTGGGTACGGTAGATAGACTAACGTGTATTAGCTTCACAGTTCTGCTATTGTATAAATTAAAAAATTCTGTTTCCAAACATCACCACCAACTTCCAAGTTATACAAACCCAGGAATATCAACGCCCCAGCGTTTCTCTTTTACTCATGAGCAAATCAATCCAATACGATCTTAACCACAAACATCAGTCATTTCCGTAGCTGCAGCCTCACTATCGTCGTTTCCACTTTATCCCGCTCAGATCACTCATTGGGTGATGTTTTACTGGGCTGGGCTCGTATGCGTGGCAAGGGCGCAGTAATGTTGCATGAATTGACGATTTTTAACTGGAGATCGTCAGGGATTGCGGCCGATGCTAATATTGAATGATTGAAGTCTTCACCAGCATGACCAGCAAAAAGAACCCAGACAGAAAGAATAGGAAGGAAAAGGGAGCAAGGGAGTATCTAAGTTTTGTTCCATGACCACAGACTGAGGGTACCCCAATGGAACTTCGAAGCCCTATCGAACAATTTAGATATAATTATAATCCTGGGTACGTGGCATAATGATGGGCTCTATATATTACTTGAAGAAGAAATCCATGGGTTGAGCAGAATAATCCTTTATTTTTGGACGATGACATACAGAATGACTACTGGTGTGGTTACTAGAAGGGATCGTCTATTATTGTTGTAGGTCGAAAACAAAATAGTGGCAGAATTATATTGTCCTAGAAAGGGTACATCGAGGTGTACATGCATGCAAACTAGTCATAAAAATAATAAGCCTCGAAAGATCACCCACGAGGCGATTTTGAGGCAAAAGAAAGTGTCTCAGATCTTTTTTTTTGGTGTTAGAAGTTAGAACAGCCTTGCTTTTAGTTCTCTCGGGCTCGCACCTCAATCTATCATTACTCAATTAAGTTTAGATTATTTAAATCATTTTTAGTTATCGAGATTGCAAGAAATGAGCTAGTATTTTGAATATATACATACAACCGGTTCCTCCTCATTACAATCATCAAAATACTCATAAACTGATTTCACTTCATTTCTTCAATATACTTGTCGTCGCTCAGCTCCTTCCTTTCCCAAGACGACATGCGTAACTACATATAAACCTAGCCATAACGCAAAGAAACCATTTGGAACCGGAAGTTGCGCCCCGGATCCCTTTTCCTTTACAACTGTTCATCTGTCCCAATTTTTGGTCCATTGGAGTAGGAGCCCATTGATATCCAGGTCGTTTCCTTTTTCCTTCTTCACTTTCTGCCATGTTGGATTATAATAGGGAGTTACCACCATGTTTCCCACCAACCAAAGTTGCTTTTCAAGGCAACCCTCATCACCAATATCCACCATCTCAGGTCAACCCTTATATTACACCATTCTCATCTCACCATACATATCCAACCCCACCTCCATCACCACTATCATTTGCGATGCCCCAGGATCATAGGATAGGTACAATACTTGGAGAAACTCTATTATTGTCACGCGTGTTAGGCTCAGGAGCCTACGGAACTGTATATTATGCTCAGGATTTGTCCACTGGAAAAGAGTATGCCGTTAAGGCGCTCAACAAAAGAAATGCCTATGGGCAGCCCTTGGACGCAAGACAACGACTTTATCAATCAAGAGAGATAGCCCTGCACTGGAGTGCCTCCGCCCATCCTAACATAGTCTCGATGTATAAGATCCTCGATGACCCGGACTGCACCTATGTTATCCTGGACTACTATCAAGAAGGAGATCTTTTTTCAAATATTACCGAAGGGGGTAGATATGTAGGTCATGATGCTCTAATCCGGAGCATCTTCCTCCAAATCTTGGATGCCACGGAACATTGCCACCGCCTTGGAATATACCATAGGGATCTCAAGCCTGAGAACATTCTGGTCGCCAATTCCGGTCATACCGTTTGCCTAGCAGACTTTGGATTGGCCACCCAGGAGCCAACATCTCGCGATCACGCATGCGGATCTACATTCTATATGTCTCCAGGTAGGCACTATTCATTCTACTTCCCAATCCTCCATCGCCCTTCACATACTAACTGGTTCCATTGTCAGAGTGTCTAGAGCAATCATATAAGCCATACAGATGTGCCCCAAACGATGTCTGGTCTCTTGGAGTGATCTTAGTCAACCTCACCTTTGGAAGAAATCCTTGGAGACAAGCCTCATGGGATGATGCCACGTACAATGCTTTTCTCAAAAACCCAGACTTTCTGAAAACTATCTTGAACCCATCGGACGAGCTTAATCTCATTTTACAAATGATTTTTCAACAGGACCCGGAATCCCGTATCACAGTTCCAGAACTGAGATTAAGAATACAGAAATTGCCAGGTTTCTACGCTTCCTCTTCCCAAGGATCTGGCCGTACACCAACACCAATCGTCGGCAATTTAACCAATGACTCTGGGTACTCCACCTCATCTCCATGTGTCGAAAGTCCATTTCGCTCTTCATCTTCGTCTCGCGACTCTGCTATTTATTCCGACGATGGGTGTACCAGCACTCTCAATGGAATCACTAATTCGAATCGGTCACTACGCAGTACCGACAACTCCTTTCTAGATTCTAACAGTCGTGATCGCGAGAATCGCGATGTTCTTGCCCACGGGCATGTTTATTTTGATGGACTACCGACACCTTCAGGTTCTCAAGGGTCTTCTCAATCATCTTCAGCTTATTCAAAAGTCGGAGCACCTTTTCCACGGAAGTTTTGAACGGACTGGCCGTTCAATGCACAAAATTCATTGGGAATTCTCGTTTTTAAAAAGTCTCACTTATTATTTTATTTTGACCTTAATTTCGGAATTCATTGTATAGTTTTTTTTTCGACCGGGCTGCTTAAAGAGGACAGGACCCGGTCATTGCATGATTAAAACGAAGAAATGTTGGAATTTTGACCTCGGGGCTTTGGTGCAGGAATCAACCAGGCGTTCAAGGCAGGCAGGGCAAGCATAGCGGCGGCAGCGTGCCGATCTACTGGGAGTTGGGGTGTTTTTTTTATCATGACAAACTTTTTGGAGTTACCGGATTTTCTTTTGACCTACATGGTACTTTCGCTTTATACCCTTTGGGCGGAACATTCCAATGCATAGGGACGGTAGAAGGATGGAATTTCCATGTTTGTCTGGCTAGACAAGCTTCCATGGCAATAAAATACGTTAAAGACCACTTGTAATAAGCGGTCAAGTTTTAGGAATAAGACGGTGTTGGGAAATAGGAATAGGTATAATGTACATGTACATCGACACAGCATCCAATGCATCGGGCGGAGTCATCGCTATACCAATAGTTAGAATAGTACAGCAATCTTTGACAAACAAGATTTGTTGCTTGTATGTGTGATTCTAACATTGCATCTTGCACCTGTGCTCACTCGAAATAAAACCGGACATTCGATATGCTCGGCATTACTATCAGAAGTGGAAAATGCAACACTTTCAAAATGCTTGTCTTGAGAGCCAGATTTACCCGTCCCGTCTAGAAATTCACGAACCACAATGGAAATGACTATCACAGACGAAAGAGACGGGAGAACATGCATGAGCCTAGATTAAGTGTCTGGGCATGGACATGCGGTGACTGGGATCACGATAGTGTGTGGTGATTCATTCCAAGCCACCGTTCGCCTTGATTTCTTCGAGGTGCACGCTTCTGCGCCCGGGAGGGTCAGATGATGCTTTGGTGGCTGACCAATAAGATAAGAGTATTGTGTTTAAGGCGAGGACTATCACGTAAGTTTTACTTGGCCACTCACTGGCGTTTGCTGATCTGTCGACTATCTCTAAAATGCACGTGCTGTCAATGCCCCCTTTCTCAGTGAAGCGAAGCCACTAGATTCCCCGCATCCGTCTGTGCTCTGCTACGAGTACTTATAGTCCTAGATACCTACCTATTGAAAGATGCATTGTTCAGCTAAGTGGTGCTTAGATGTTATTGTAGCATATATGACGCTTGTTAAAACTCCTTATCCGACCGTCTTGCATTAACATCATCGGACCGGAGCTTTTGATGCATCGAGATCTTTTATCCCTGAAGTGTGGAAGGAAAGTTAAAACAGGTACATGAGGATGGGGATAAGACTATCGCGATACATTTAGAGTTAGGGAATAAGGGGCAAGATAAGATGATTTTCATCTAGATATTCGCAGCATGGACGGATGATGACGCGAGACTAGCACTCGTGCACTAACTGACCATCAGCTGTGTAGCCGCACTACGACTAACCAAATGTATATAGATATGAATGATTACTGTTTTATCGGACTCAAAACTCGAGCGAAATCTCTCGTGCCCTTAAGAGCAAGATCTAAGAGCAAGATCTAAGAGATAACTATGCTTGAATGCCGGGCTCCCGGGCAGCTAGTGAGCCAAGTCACGTGACTCAGTCCATTCTTGTTGCATATCTCAAATCGGATACCGTGAATGTCATGAATGTCTCTCGGCTTTACAAAAGAGATCAACATAAAAAGTTAATAAATGCCGTCTGTCAGTGTGACACCAATCTGAGTCTGGATTCTTCTGTCGATCATTCTTCCAACAGACTAACAGTATTGAGAAACGATATTCTCATTCCAAGGTTGTGATCAAAACTGATAAGCGCGGAGCGGTAACGATATGATTGGATCGTATGAGCGAGCCAGCTCTGGAAGTTTGGATTAGGAGCTAGCTACTTCTCGTTCTTGGGAATTTGCTAGTTCCTTGGGGTTCATGCCCGTCATTCTGCGACGCCACATCCGGATGAATGGATGACAGTGATATAAGCTTAATCCACAATTCATCAACAATTTACTTGATGGTAATATATAACCCCTTCTATATTTGGTTTCATCAATGAGTTTCAACTTTTCAGGCAATATTCTGGAAATTCGAAGGTATACCGGAACATCCGCAAAAATGGTGCTAAGGATCCACAAAAACCAGCATTTTTTTCTCACTATCATGTGGATCTACGCTTTTGGATATTCAATAGCTTCTTGAATCTGCAAGTAGACCGGGTTTCCATTTCATACGTTTCTCTTCGACTAAGAGTTAATATTTCTCAATCGAGACGCGTTTGACTGGTCGACGCATCTGCCATGCTGCCTGAATTGTATTGAATCTGAATAGACCTTCGAGATGGCATCTTGATAGTTATGACAATAGTTTAGCGAGCGTGGTAATCATGACCCGAGTAGAGAGAACAAACATAGGATTAGAATTTGGAGACAGGTTGGAGACAAATGAGGTATATTCGAGGGTTCATCATCTCAGAATCTTGAAAGAAGTTTGTTTTTTCATCCTGATACAAGTGAATGGACATAACTAAGGTGTATAGCCGGAGAATATTGTTTTAACGAAGAAATGTTGAGTTCCATGGTTACAATTTGATCCTCCTAAAAAAAATTGACGTTCAGACATACTCGCAGACAAAACTTGACCGAGCACATTTCTTGGCTGAGGTCACGAAAACCTAAACTCCTTTTACACTTTCTTAACATACTTTGAGCTTTTCTCTAGCTCTGAGGCTTAGTGATTGACCATTGGAGACAATACGGGTTACAATACGAGCTGATCTTGTGAGTGATTGAATTTGAGACATTTGCAGACGTGCAACAAATTTATATCCTCCGAATTTCGCAACCTACAATTGGTCAAGTCTATAATACTCCTTCAACAAGCAATCGCCGGAGTTTTCTTTTGTGAGGTTTGTTGATGGGGAGTCCAGCTCTATATTGAGAGACTACGGCAAGACGCGAAGCTTTATACGTCATAAAATTCGAATCAGTAATTCTGAGCGAGGGGGCTCAGCACCAAGCAAGCGAGGGGGCAGTTCGTTCTTCTGAATCATATGAGCATTCATACCTTAAATTCTAGACAAATCCAACAATATGTTTATGTTTTGGGAGATGTGGTTCAGCTGGAAACTCGAAGACACATCATTTTTTCATCCTTTTCCGTAGAGATATGCGTATTACTTGAGGCATTTTTCGATCCCAAAGTTCACAGAACAGTCTAGAACAGCTCATCTACATTTTAAATGCAGTAATGCTAGATCAGTTGGTATAATAGATTCTTGGATTTCAGATTGCTTTGATATAGTAGCATACTGTCCTAATATTATATTTATCGAAGCTGTTTTATTCGCATACTCGTCAGTGAAACTCATAAATTGAGCGCATATTCTATAGAGTGATCGTATTTTACTATGAGTTAGTTCCTTTCAGTCCGAGAATTTGAATACTACATCGCTTAATATCGCCAAATCTATTGGATTTTGATCTGTGACTCAGAACACACACCATCACCATTTGAATCCTCCATTATATTCAAGTGCTCTATATTCCGTGTAGTATAAATATCACACTGTTTGTGAACGTATTTTCGGTGAGGAAATATCATGGCAGACATTTACATATCAATGCCGAGTATAAGAACGCATTATACACAATTCCAGCCTGCTTCTCTACGCTTGCCTGTAAACCCAGTTTGAAAAGTCAAGTTTATCGTTAATGAACCACCAGTTCCAGGTTTGGTCGCTGTTCGTAGCATCATGAAGTGTACTGCACATCATTTAGATCCTTCTAAATGCTCTGAGCGCTCTCTCGATCAATATTTGGGGTGGGTACGGCCCTACAGAGGAACTGATAGATTCCTCATTTGCAGCCAACTAACAGCCAAAACTACATTCATTATTGACTCGGTTAAAACTACACAGATTTCCAAGATTTCCACACAGTCCGGGCGGTCTCGGTATTCACACTTCTCGAATCCGTCTGAGGCATTTTACCTTTCCTCACACGCCAGAGCTATGTTCGAGAACTCAAAATTCTACAATAATGTAGGATGATGTAACATATTTGTCAAAGCAGTCAATCTCTCCGAAGTAATTACTGTTCGGTCGGAGGTCGCCGCTGGCAATGGAAACAGCCTGTATGTATTTGCATCTTCGATTCAATAGATGTTCTCAGGTCAGTTCAAATGGGAAATTTTGAGATGTGCAACAAGACTAGATGATGAGATTTCCAATAGTTTCATTGGCTCTCAGTCTCTCCAACTAACCTCAAGAGTGAATCCCAAAGTGGAGAGGCTGATCAGTTGAACCGTTTCTCACTTTAAGCATATCTTTCCGACAGCCCCTAGATTGATGACCGGGGCCTTCTGAAAAAGTCAGACATACATGAGCTTGTCCAATAGAGGAAGTGTTAGGAGGTACCAGCACTTCAGCATGCAGGATATGCATGTTATTTACGTCTTTGTTCTTGAAGATCCCAGTAAAAGCATTGGGAGTGACTGCTTGTTTCCATTGCCATAACACTATCCAAGAAACGGGTCATATATAATGCAAGTCCAACTCCATCTCTACGAATCAAAAAACACCATGTGTTCAGGACTCAAAACTTCACCATAAGAAGCAAGAAACAGCTTAAATAGTGAAAAGCTGAGTTTAAGAACCTTAAAACACACAGTATATAAAAAACACTTTGTACGAAATCAACTCCATGAGATCAATATCTCCAGTACCATTAAATTCTTTGGTGTTTAGAGAGCCTGCATCCCAGACTTCCTATATAAGAAACCTCAAACTCGAAAGGCCAGCAGACTGGGCTTCGAAAGGCAGCTATCTCTTGAATAAGCCGCAAGAGAGCATACTACATGCCCAGAAACGAGTATAATCTAGCAACATTACCCAATTTGAAATCAAGACATGTAAAATACCTCTGAATATTCTCAAAAGTGCCAAAAACTTCTTTGTGACCACCTTTTTGGAAATATTGTGACGCAGAACATAATACCTATGACCACCTCCACAATCAGTGATTCAATTGTCTTGTAATTCGAAGAAAGTAAACTCCCAAGCCCAGCAGTCCTGACATTAGGACTGAAATGGTTCTTCTGCTAAAATTGCTAAAAATCATGCCTTATTTTGAATTTCGATAGCAATCAAAATAGTATCATCAAGATGTTAAATCTTGAATATTAATGATAAGCTAAAAATTTTTTCCATCGAGGTATTGATTCAAAACATTTGAGGGTCGATTTGCTACAGAATTTCAAATGCAGGGTGGTTTTTGGCGTGTCCATCTTGGGTTTTGATGTAGCCAATTCTGCGGTTCGAAATGAGGATTATCTTCACCGCAATTTCGAAAGTACACGTGCGTAAACACGATATCTTAGCCCGCTACGAAGCAGGCAAAGGATGCAAGATCCGCACCAGTCTGCTCTTTTGATACCTATCCGAGCACATTTGTGGACTTCAAACTTAAGCTGTACCGGCCTGAGCCGGCTTGCCAGAACTGTAGTAACAATCTAGATTCAATAGAGACGCACAGATTAGGCTGAAAACTGATGTGGTTGTGGAAATAACGTGAGATGCTGCAAGCTGGACTTGCATCTTACATCTTACATTAACTCTCATCTGACCACTTTGGCAATGCTTGCCAAAGCGTACAGCATCCCACAGTAGCGGACACCGGGACTCCCGTGGAAAACTACCATCGAATCGTTGGCGTCGTAAATACAGTACGTACCATGGTTGACTGGTATAGATGCAAGCATATCATGCAGCCACGAAAGAAAGATGAAGTGTTCTTGCAGAAAAGATGGAGGTGCGGTGTGTGGTGTATCGTGTATGTGTGGTCAAGGCTGCTGGGATTGTTTGAAGTGGTAACCGAGGCAACTGTCACTGCGCACGGTCCTCCCTGCGATCAACACGCGACGAAACACGAAACGTTGATATCGATAATGAAAGGATGAGTCCAACCGACAAACAAACAAACAAACACTGGCTGGCCATCAATTAATTGATGGCCGTCAATTCTGCATTTCTTTCCGTATTCGATCATTCGTGAATCGTGAGGGCATTAAAAAGACGTGAGGATTGTGGGGAGAATGCAAACGGAAGTATCCTCGAGGATTCCTGACCATACAATACTCGTACAGCGTGGAGTGTCCGCATACTGCTACTGCAATAGAGATTATTTTATCGACGCGTTGTGCTCCGTCATACAAGCTAAAGGTGTATGGTGCAACCACAGCAATGAATTCTCGAGGTATTGGTACTCGATTTCATTCACTCTCGCAAGGTTATCGATAATGGCGGTAATCCATTGAAAGCGGAATGGAATCAAAACAAAGTATTCGTCGCGTACCACCCACCCATGAATACTCCATACTGCGGCAGCAATAACTTTATTGCAGTCACTACATCGAACCATTGACACTCAAAACAGGTAATAATCGATGATGAGCTGACGAAGTGTCTGTTTCATTCTCTGTTCATACTGCATGAGTTCGGCTTTGTTA